AATGTTAATAGAATAGACCTTTTCTTCTTGTTTTCCTCTCTATGTTTTGTACTCAGCTGACCTTTAGAGACACACTTAATATTATCAGTGTTCTGATGGTGTTTTAGCAAAAGGATTTTTTATCAAAAACATGATTAATGTGATCAAATAAGCAATACTTGTATTAACCATACATGGGAACCCCAGGAAGTTTCTGAAAATTATAGAATTTGAAGGTACATTTAAAAAAAAAAAAAAAAGAAAGGACAATCCCATATAAGTACAGCGGATATCACATCTGCTGCGTTTGGCACTCCTGGGCTTCTGTACAATCACAACTAGCCTGCCGTCCTCTCAGATAATGAAACGAAACAGCAGGTAGAAAAAACTGCAGCCAGACACAGAAATCTTTTTTATTCTGAAATACGGAGGATATTTAAATCGGATCAAGAAGAAAAGATGTTTGTTAACTGTTCACCTTTTTATAGATACAGAGCATTTTTAGAAAAAAGATTGATATTTTCTTCCAGCCCTGAAACTTTGGTTTCACTTCATCACTTTATTCAAATTATTACTGAGACACAAAAATATCTGCAGGTTTTTTATTTTTATTTTTTTAACCAGAGGATGTTCAGCATTTTTCCTTCTTTTCTTCTTGGACCCAAATGATGATGGAAAAGTTAGAGTGAATTATTCTGGAAATAAGCAGAATGTTTCAGGGAAATAATTTCAGGCGTTTTTAGAGCAGAGTGCTGTGAGCATTCAGACACTTTAATTGAAAAAAGTCTCGGCAACAGAGTGACCTTGTGCAGAGCTGCTGTCTCCCCCTGAGCGCTAACCTCTGCTAGCTGCTGGGGGAGCAGAGCCGCTCTGCAGCCCTCGCTGTTATCTGGATCATCCAGCCTTTGTTTGCTTCACATCAAAAATTGATCAGGAAGTTTTATTGCTGATTAATTTTCTTTGTTGATAAAAAATGCTGGATTTTACCTCCATCTATAAAAGATACTTTGTTCAAAATCTGCTCCTAAGATTAACTTAGACTTATCAGTCCCAAACGGGGTCTGCTAGGAAAAAATAAGATAATTAAATAAAAGCATCACAATTCTATATTTCCAGAGGAAAAATGCGGAGTGAATACTCCTGTTCAATCACAGATCTTTGCAGTTTGCCCAGAGCGGCTGAACATGGAGGCCTGATGGAAAATATTCCTAAATAACCAGAGAAATCCAGCTCATGATTTCCTCTGAATCTCCACAGAAAAAAGTATTTAAACATTCAGGCTAAAGGACATTCCTGAGTCCATCATGTGTGAGCCACGTTTGGGAAGCAGTCTGGATGTCCTGGTTTTAAGGTCTTCTGGACGTAGAGCTTCCCAGCAGCGACTCTTTGTGCTCATCAGCCAAGGACCAATCAAGCACCAGCCAAGGTCCATCCAAGGACCAGCCAAGGACCAATCAAGCACCAGCCAAGGTCC